AAGGGTAAGTTCTGTAAATTCCACAGAAGCGATACCCATGACACCAACGAATGTTACATTCTGAAAAGGTATGTGGAAAGGCTAGCCCGCGACGGACAATTGGATCAGCTCATGAAGAAAGTTCGGCAGAATCAGGACCCCCAGAAGAGGAACACCTGGAACAGGGGAAAAGATGAGTCAGCCTCAACTTTGAAGAAAAGGGAGGTTGGAGCCCAGTTCGAGGATGATGAAGAATGGGAAGATTCAGGCCGACAGAAACGCCCGCACGACAACCAGGTCTACGGTGGACCTGTGAGAGGAAATACGGTGGCAGAGAGGAAAAGGTGGAATCGCCAGCTCTTTGTTGGAGAAATCAGCCGCCTTCCTGCGGACAAAAAGCAGAAGCAGGAGTCCATTGTCTTCACCAAAGACGACTTGCCACCATGTCCTCCACCACACAGAGACACATTGATGATAAAAATGGAGGTTGTTGATACCATTGTTCACCGAGTCCTCGTGGATAATGGGAGTCCAGTAAACATTCTATACATGAATACACTTCAGGAGATTGGCCTCCAAAAGGCAAACCTCAAACTAATCAAAACCCCATTGTCAGGTTTTACCAGGGATACCATTGAACCTGAGGGGGTTATCACCCTCAAGATCCAGCTCGGACCAGAACCATGTGTGAGGACTGTCGAGACGGACTTTGTGGTTGTGCGGCTGCCAAGTGTATACAAGGCAACTCTTGGCCGACCTCTTTTGGAAGATCTGAGGCTATCATTTCCCAGGCTCATCTGTGCCTTAAATTCTACACCCATGCAGGAGTAGGCACAGTAAGAGGAGACCAAAAAATGGCCAGGAGTTGTTACATAAGGGCTTACGAGGCCCATGGGAGAAATGAAGCAAGAGTAAATGCCATCGAGCAGGACTTATCGAAATTTGAAGAAGGGCAATTCAAAGCCCAACCTATTTCGGAGCTTGAGGAGGTCAGATTCGATCTAACCCGGCCAGAACGCCGGATTAAGATTGGTACAGGGCTCCAGGCCGACCTGAGAGCGAAAATAGTCCAAGTTTTGATGGAGTTCGAGAGAATCTTTGCCTGGGGACCTGAGGATATGCTAGGGTTTGACCCCAGAATAGCAGTTCATCACCTGAACGTGGATCCAAAGGTCGTTCCTGTCAAGCAAAAACGCAGGTACTTATCTTTGGATAGGAAAGAATTCGTAAAGGGGGAAGTAACAATGTTGTTGGGCATCAAGCACATTAGGGAGGTTCAATATCCGGAGTGGCTTGCCAACATGGTTTTGGCACCCATGCCACCTACCTGGAGGATGTGCGTTGATTACACTGACCTGAACAAGGCTTGCCCAATGGATCCTTTTCCCTTGCCAAGCATAGATCAACTGGTGGATCAGACCGCTGGATGCGAACTCCTATCATTCATGGATGCATTCAGAGGGTACCATCAGATCTCGATGCACCCGGATGACGCTGAGAAGACCCCGTTCGTCACACCTGAGGGAGTTTTCTGCTACCTAGTCATGGTCTTCGGATTGAGAAACTCGAGAGCTACTTACACAAGGATGGTATCCAAAGTGTTCCGATTAGTTCTAGGAAGAAACATGGAGGCGTACATTGATGATATGATCGTGAAGAGCCAGAAGACAACCGATCACGCAGACGATCTCAGGGAGGTCTTCAGCATCATGAGGGAGGTAAACCTAAAGCTTAACCCTAAAAAGTGCACTTTCGCGGTTCAAGGAGGAAATTTTTTTAGGTTCATGGTGACAAACAGAGGAATCGAACCTGACCCAGAGAAGATAAAAGCTATCTTGGACATGGAACCACCCAAAAGTGTGGAAGAGGTCCAAATCTTGACCGGGAGGCTGGCGGTGCTGGGAAGATTCTTATCCAGGTCGGCAGAAAGATCCTTACCTTTCTTCCAAATCCTGAAGAAAAGTAATGGATTCCAATGGACCCCGGAATGCCAGACTGCATTTGAGGACCTGAAAGCCTATCTACAATCAGACCTGCTGCTCAGCAAGCCTGAGGCCGGCGAGACCCTCACTCTCTACTTAGGGGTGACACAAAGTGCCATCAGCTCCGTTTTGGTGCGCGAGGAAGAAACGATACAAAATCCGGTTTACTACATCAGCAAAGTCCTTCATGGGGCTAAGCTCAGATATCCAGCCTTGGAGTAAACCGCGCTCGCTGTATACACGGCGACAAAGAAATTGGCACACTACTTCTAGGCTCATCCAATCAAGGTTTTGTCAGACCTGGGAGTAGGCACTTTGTTCAGGACGACTAAAACAACCAGAATTGTGAAGTGGTTCTTGTTAATCAGCCAGTACCAAGTAAGTTTCCAACCTAGATCATCAATCAAAGGTTAGGCCTTGGCAGATTTCCTAGTCGAATGAACGGGCCGGGACTTGGCTGAAGAAAAGAGACACGAAGAAGAGGATTGGTGGACCCTTATGACCGATGGAGCATCATCAGGGTCCAAAGGTTGCGGAGGAGGGGTGGTCCTCATAACCCCCAAAGGCTTCAAAACTTATCATGCCTTCAGGTACAAGTTTAACCTCTCTAACAATGAAGCTGAGTACAAGGCCCTGCTGTCAGGCTTCAGGATAACAATCCACTTCAACGCACAAAAGTTGAGGGTCAAAAGCGAATCTAAGTTGGTTATCAAACAACTTAGAGGGGAATACGAGGCCAAAGAAGAATGAATGCAGAAGTACAGGGATGCAGCCCTGGAACTTATCAAACATTTTGAGGAGTCAGATCTGATATGTGTTCCTCGAGCCCAGAATAATGATGCAGATATTCTATCAAAGCTGACTGAAGGCGCGCCTGAACACCTTATGTGCATAGCCCGGATACAAGAGCTGGACAAACCTAGCATCGAGGTCACAAAAGACCTCGAGGTTTTCTCAGCCAAGCAGAAACCAAAATCCTGGGTTGAAGAGTTGATAAAGTACAAGGAAGATGGAACGTTGCCTTCCAATGAGGAAAAGGCAAAGTTAATCAGAAGATGGGCTCCGAACTATGTCATTGAGAATGGCAAACTATACAAAAGAAGTTACAATGGCGTGCTGCTCAAATGTCTAAGGCCAGAACAAGCTCAGCAAGTAATAAAAGAACTACATGAAGGAACTTGCTCGTCCCATCAAGGTGTGTTTACCCTAAGTAGGAAAGCCCTATTACAAGGATATTTTTGGCCTACAATGATAAGGGACCGCGTGGACTTTGCGTGAAGGTGTGAGGTCTGCCAGAAATTTCAAATGAACCCAGGCATACCTGCCACCCTATATCATCCTTTCAGCACTGCAATCCCCTTTTTGAGGTGGGGAATAGACCTCGCTGGGCCCTTTCCCCCGGGCTCAGGAGGTCGGAAATTTGTGATAGTTGCAATTGACTATTTCACAAAATGGATTGAGGCCAAACCAATGGCCACAATCACTGCGGAGCAATGCAAGAAATCTGGAGAAATATGTTTTGCTGGTTTGGTGTTCCCATGCAGGTTATCACCGATAATGGAAAACAATTTGACTCTGAGTCATTCAAAGAATTCTGCGAACAATGGGGAGTTGAGGCCAGCAGAGCATCTGTTGCTTACCCCCAATACAATGGACAAGTGGAGGACGCCAACAAAACTATTGTTAGCGGCCTCAAAAGGAAGTTGGAGTCAATGAGAACAACTTGGGTGAATGAACTCAACAATATACTTTGGGCATACCGGACTACCCCAAGAAAGGCCACTGGTGAAACTCCTTTTGCCTTGACTTATGGATTTGAAACCCCAGCGCCACTAGAGACTCTAGTCCCAAGTAAAAGGGTTGAAGATTATGACCCTAAAAATAATAAGGACATGCTCAGGGCAGAACTGCACCTGATTGAGGAGAGAAGGGACAATGCGTTCATCAGAGCTGAAAACTACAGAAGGCAAGTCAAAGAATACCACGATGCAAGGGTCAGACCGAGGCTATTTCAGGTCGGGGACCTAGTTCTGAGGAGAAGGTCTGCTAGCAAACCTTTGGAGGGCGGAAAGTTTGCCAAAAATTGGGAAGGGCCCTACAAAATCAAAGGAATTGTTGGACCCGGGACTTACAAACTGAGTACTCCTAAAGGGAAGCTAATAGAGAGTGTGGAATTCCGAGAACTTGATGAAATTCTACTAGTAGGTTTGTAATTCCAATTTGAAGAATTATTCAATAAAGTTTGTTTTCTTTCACAAAAGTCCTTGTAACAATTGCGAAAGTTCTTTAACCGCCAAAAAGAAGAAGAAGGGTTATGCCTAATTTTGGTACTCGCAAAAGTCAAAGTATAAATTCCAGACTCATCCAAATTCCGCGGCTCAACTTAGTCTTACCAAAAGATGAGAGCAGGAATACAAGATCTTTTTCAAGATCAAACAGCCTTATAAACAAAATCAAATTTCCTCAAACAGGAAAAGATGGCCTTTTTCAAGGCCAAGACTGATTTACAAAGGCTAAGGATGAACTAAAGGAATTAACTTTGCACCGGAGCGCACCAGGCCTCGCCAATTAAAGAGGTTCATCACAAGGCTTAACTGACCTAGAGTGAAGAACCCACCCTATTTGGGTTCAGAAAATAAGAACTTATGGTTAAAATTGGTAAAGCTCTCCGACACGGTTCAAAAATTAAGAACCCAAGGAAAGCGACCTTGATCGGAAAATCAGGGCTGAAACTATGAAGACAAAGTGATAGAAAACAGACTTATCTATTTGGAAACCGAAGTCAGACCTTGAGGTCAAACCAGGGCTCCCAGGTCGTGTGGATACAAGAACGAAGGACAATTTCCCAGACGATCAGCCAAGAGGGAACCCAGCCTCAAACTCAAGGCTAGGTGACTCAAGCTAAGCTTAAAGAAGGTCAAAGCAGGGCAGGTAATTAGCCCCAGGACTAATAGGTTGAACCAAGAAACAACAACGTCATATACATGCAAGAATAAAGTGCAGAAAAGTAAGTGTTTGTTTACAAAGCCACCCCGAGGGCGGAAAACATTACAGGCACGCAGGCCTGGGAAAGATGTTTGTCAAGGCAAATAAGAATAAAGTAGCATTTACAAAACAGGTGGCGAGGCGTCCCTCTAAACGCCACCTGGCAAAACGGTCAACTTCCGGACGACATCAGTAGAGCTCCTCTCTTCCGCAGGCAAGGAAACGGCTTGAAATGCCAGCCTCTTCCCAGTATTCCTCGTCGGGATAAGCTAGAGGTCGGCAACCAGCTTGGTAGGAATCAACACCATTCCCTGGAAGCCCCTGATCAGGCTAATGCTCCTCCCCCTAGGACAAGGTAGATCAGGGTCAGAAATGGTCATCGAAATGCAAGATTAAAAAAAAGAAAAAAAAACAGGTGTCACCAACCTGGGGACAAAGTAAACACCACCTTCCCGTCATCACCAAGATAATGGTCCAACCGATAAGGCGACCCCATGTCGAGGAGACCAGCGGCATACTCAGTTCCCTGATTAAGGAGGGACAGATCCCATCGACGAATAAACTTCACCCATTTATTAACGAATAGGAGCTTACCGTTTGTCAGGGTCACCCACACCCATTTTTTCTCCCAATTTGGATCAAGGCTGGGAAAGGGTGGACCCTCGAACAAGTGATAACCCGGCCTCAGAGAAAGTGCGATGAAGCCCTTAGCAAAGGAGACGCCAGTTCGGGCTGCATAGAAGAAGTGCCGAAAAAGCTTTGTGTTCAACAGAATCCGCAGATGCATGCAACGGGCCATGAACCCAGCCAGGAAGAGGTAAGCCACTGGGGCAAACTGGCTGGGGACAATGCGATAATAAGCAAGGATGTTCAGCACGAAAGGGTGAATGGGAAACTTGAGGCCCATATGCAGGTTGGTAGGTGCACCCCAAAGTGAAGAGGGGAAGGAGTGTCTATTATATTCTGACCAGGAGAAGGGCGTGAACAAATCACGCTAGGACCCGCCAGGGTGACGGCGGTTTCAAATTCGGCATCTGTAAGGGCCGCCGCAGTCACAGCCCGTGCCCTATCCGTCGGAAGGTAAAAATGGGTAGACGTATCATGAAGGAATTTTGAAATAGAAGAAGATTTGGAAGAAGACATGACGAACTGGAGTTTTACTCAAGAAGATCAAAGAATGCCCGAGTAGTAAAAGGGTGCGAAGGAAAGTTGCCTTTATACCAGAACCCTAACCGCTTGGGAGTTGTCTCGACAATCGTTCAGAAACCGCTTGGGAAAACAGCATCCGGGGACTCGAGGAGTCGGAAAGTGGAAAAGCTGGTTGAAAATTGAGCCCGGGCTGCAGGCCTACTTCGGCACAATAATTACTGGGCAAAGCTACAGTCGCCTATAAAAGATTCGAATTTCAAAATCTAGTAAACCGCTCCAATTTTACTCCTCCAAAATTCAGCCCTGCTAATTTTGAGGAGTAGGGGGGCTCGTGATGGTACCATGGATTTAGCCCATGGCCCAATTACAGAATTAGCCCATAAACGGGATCTATGATTAAAAGTCGCTTAGCCCATTAGGAATTAGGCCCACGATAGGAACCCACAGCCAGGCCGGGCTGGACAGCAGACCTCGAGCCCTGGCGGAGTTCTAGTGAGGTCGGGATATTCCTAGGGCTTATGTGGCGAGCTATCATTCCTTGATAGATATTTGGCAACAGACAGAACATACCAGATGCATCAACGGTCATTGCAGCTAAATACATCGGCCGATGGGTCCGCCCTTTTGCTTCATTTTGGGGGCATCTGGTGTACTCTTTTTCCCTCGCTAGGATTTTTTCTCACTGGATTTTTCCTAGTGAGGTTTTTAACGAGGCATCTCCCCATATGAACGAAAGGTGACAACCCTCGACCCCCAGAGGAGTCATTACGAGGCATTCACTACTCTACTCCTCTCAATCTCACCACGCCGACCTCAAAAATGAAGAATTTCAAGAATGTGAAAGGAATCAAATTACAACTAAAAAATCCAGCCCTACTGATTATAAGGAGTAGGGGGGCTCGTGATGGTACCATGGATCACAGCCATGGCCCAAGATTGAATTAAAGCAAAGCCCATCAACGGGATCAGCCCATCAACGGGATCAACCTAATTAACAGGATTAGCCCATAAACGGGAGTAATATCGAATGAGCCACTGGACCCATTGGAAATCAGGCCCACGATAGGAACCCACAGCCAGGCCGGTCTGGACAGCAGACCTCGAGCCTGGGCAGAGTTCTAGTGAGGACGGGATATTCCCGAGGTTTACGTGGCAAGATACCATTTGAAGATAGATATTGAGCAACTAAAAGGAGAAAGTAATCGTATAGGAATCAAGCATCAAAGGAGTTCTATTTCGAGCAAGAATATAGTTAATTAATTAAGCATTAATTGAATTAGATTCCTTCCATAATTCTACGTCCTAATCTCTATAAATACTTCATGTAAACACCCTATGAGGGGGATCCCCGATTGAGTTCTGAACCGAGGCTAGACAATTGCTAGTTCTCCGGAATAAAGAGTAAAAACTGCCTTATGCTGCCATATTATTCTCACACTTACGTATATTTAGCTCTAGTAGTTGGATTTAACTCCATCAACGTGTTTTGTACACGCCATTTTACATACCGGTTGAATTGTCTGTGCGCGAACCATTTCTTTTCTTTTGTAAAGAAAATTGTTTTTCACACCAATAAATATTTTTGTTTGTGCCGCAGACAGAAATTATCGATGAGAAAAATTATTTCCTTCACAAAACGAAAAAAATCTGTGCACAGATAATTCGACCGGCGCGTAAAATGACGTGTACAAAAAATGTGTACACGAAGCATGATTGATAAAATAATTAGTGATATTTTGTGACCCATTGTGACTTCTCCCTCTACCACCGCTACTAATATTTGAATAAGTTTTGCTACTTGTACTCAACTCTTATACCCCACCTTGGTGAGAGATTATTTTTTGTGAGTGAATCTCGTTCACAGACAAAACATACATGTTTGTTTTGTCTGTGCACAAGATTTACCTCATGCAATTTTTCATAGCTGAATACTCCCTATTACTTTTTGTATTTCATACACCCTAGGTAACTAGTCTAAGAGTTGATGACTAGATTTCACACCTCACTTTTTTCTTACTCTATATATTTGTTTCTCTTTCTTATTAGACTCAATAACTGGAAGAGATTTATTTGATTGAATTTTTCTTAATAAAGCAAGATATGTTCTCTATAAAAGGTGATGCTACATATAGGAGTGGTATATAGACTTTGTACCCTGGAATGTGATACTGGAGACTTGTACACCACCATTACAGCACTCAGCCCTTTGTTTGGTCTACAATTATGGTTCACTCACCTTTGATTATTAGGGAATTTTAAATATGAAGTAAGATGTTTTGTGCTTTAGAGATAGAGTTTATTTTCTAACTAATCATATGAAAAGACTCGCATAAAGTACTGCAAGTGTGTATCATATTATCATCATGGCCGGGGTTGAAGTTGTGTCTTCTTAGCTAGATCGTTTGCCAATTTGGTTGTACTCTGGATAGTTTCTTTATTGAAAATAATAGGCACTTAATTTGTACTACGTATGTTAGTATGTTAGTACGAGAGATTTATAATTCAAAATGACCAAATTTAATGTATCTATGTTTTTAGTTGGATTAGTTTTAGCCCCGAATGAGTTAGAGTTAATTAAACATATAATACTGGCTAAAGGGTCAAATAGGCCCTCACCATTTGGGGCTCTAACCGTCCGTCACTATTTGAGGCGGTTTCCGGCGGAATTTTTTGATGAAATTTTTTGAGCATCTTCTTCATTAAGTCTAGTTTACCCATACCAAATTTCAGATAAAAATTCATCCGAGAAGACAGTCAAATGATTTTCTGAAATGTACTGCGCTGTTTAACTGCGCAATTATCTTAAATAATTCATTTGACTACCTTCTCGATTGAATTTTTAGTTGAAATTGGGTATGAGTAACTAGACTTAATGAAGAAGATGCTCAAAAAAATTCATCAAAAATTCCACCGGGAACCGCCCCAATTGGCGACAGCCGGACAGAGCCTCCTAAATTAGGGGTGAATTGCACTTTTTAAGTTAGTTTGAGGGCCTACTTGACCCTTTAGCCTATAATACTAAATTGGATCAAACATAAACAAATAGATCAGACTTCAATAGTGCTAAAATGCACATAGATCGGGCTTCTATTAGACCAGTTCAGAGCAAACTGGACCAAAATCAAACATAACAGATCTGATCAGACCAGAAAATTTCTTTTCAATATAAACATTCTATTTCGTTTAATTTGATTAGTTTCAGTCACATACAGACATGATCATACCATATCAAACCTGATTAAACTTCTACAATTGTAAAACACACATAGAACATACATCTATCAGACCAAGTCAGAAAACTAGCCGGTAAATTATAGTCCAATTTAAAACACACTAATTTAATAGGGATTATGCTAATGCTTATTTACAAATTTATGTTGGGACGAGTGACGACACAAGCAAGGATAGTACCAAATCACCACCCCGGTAGCCACTAATTTAGGGTACTCATGAGCATAATGTAAGAAGTAATTGAATAGCGATAATAAAGATAATCTACAGATGCGTGAACAAAGTCAAGCTTGTGTCTTACATGTTTTGCTGCCTCAACCCCGGCCCACTAATGGTTTCTCTTACAACTTTGGAAAACTTTTTTAGACTTTTCATTATTTTTTTATATCATTATTATACACCTAGCTAGAATCTCTCTTTGGGCGACTTTTCGTTTTCCTGGCAACACATAGTGGAAAAACAATGCAAAACGATATACATAATTTGATCCAATTGCTGAATCACAATTCACAAACCAAAACTTTAGTGCATCCTGCATACAAATGATTTATCACAATGTGCATATTGATTTACTTATTAGTACCCTAAATTATACTTGATGAATTCCTCCATTCTTTTTTAGTTAACACTCATTTTCACGTTTGTTAATGCATAATGTTGACCGTCAATATTTAATATATTTGATTCTTATTAACTAGTAAACAAAATTAAAAAAAAACAATTTTTTAAATATGAATGACACGAATTCAACAATACTGCCTCCGTCCTTTATAACTTTGCCAACTTTCCTTTTCTGGATGTCCCATTAACTTTGTCACTTTCCCTTTTAAGTAAAGAATTTGTGGTTCCAGTTAATTCTCTCTCCTCTGTACAAATCTCAACCACACAGTTTTTACTTTATTAATCCTTGTGTCGGTCAAACTTGACAAAGTTATTAGGGACGGAGGGAGTATTACTCAAAAAAATCACGCATTAATTAATAAATTGTAATTAAAGTAGAGTATGTGAACAGTGTAAAACTCACGTTAGATTACAACAACAAAAAGAGAAGACGATGATATTTGTTTTTGAGCTAGTATATATACTCCCAATTATTGATCCCGGCCTCGGGGCTAACATTGAATACTTGATTTCACATGAATATAGGATATATATTACTACTTATATACAAATTATTATATAGACAAAAATACACACACATATATCAATATATGGTATGATTGTGTCAATGAGATTGTATTATCGTGGAGTAGAAACATATTAACCGGCCAGTCGGCCACATTAATAAATTTATGCACTTCATATTTTCTTTTGGACTCAAATTTGCTGGTCTGATATGATCTGATCTGGTCTGGTCTAGTCTAGTCTGAACTTGTTTGGTCTAGTAAACATCTGGTCTATGTGTATTTCATAACTGTTCATGTCTTGTCTGGCCTGGCTGTTCTAATCAAGTCTGGGACCGCAAACAATCCAAAACAAAACATCTTAGATATTGGTTCGAATTTCATGTGCATTTCCACAGTTCGTATTTTTTTAC